TGCCTGCGGGAGCTAGATTTTTGGTATGTAATGATTAATTAATTGATTTAGACTTGAGTATGAGAATCACTGTCATCTCACTGTTATTTATCATTATTTAGGCAGGAAGGATGGCGACTAGAGCATGAGAATCCAAGTGACCCCCAAACGCCCTTGGTCTTTAAAGGCGTAGTCTTTAATGAGATGAAGGGAGCATTTGTAAGTTTTGCCTTTTTTACATTGGGTTAAGGTGGTCTTGCCTGCATAAAATGCTGAAGTATAAATAGGTTTGGAAGATAGTTGGCGTTCAGTTATTTCACACAACATTCCCATCTTAGATCATAACTTGCTGAACTAGCTGGCGTCGGTGCTGTGGGCAGCAGCCACAGGCGGCAGCGGGCCCAGGCTGCTATTCATCTTGGTGCTGCTGCACATGTGGCACTCAGGCCCTGTCTGGTGGCCCTGGGGTACAATCTGCCGCAGGTCTGCGGGGTAAAAGCCCTTTTCCCAGCACTCTGACAACATTGTCCTCTTCACTGTCATTCTTGCCTGAGTGCACAGTGGCGTTTCCCAGAAGCTCCATAGCATGTGGGCCACAGTGCAGGTGGGGGAGCCCTGCTCCATTGCTGTCTTCCGTAGACCAAACAATGCGAGCTTTGCTTCATTTGTTATGAAGAGGAATTTTCCAAAAAGTATTTTTGTCAACATGTGATGAGTTAAGTTACTGAATGAACACAGAAAGGTTATATAAATACATACACACACCGTGCATATATACACACATAGACACATACACAACTACGTAATCAAAAAACCCCACATAATCAAAAGCTCTTTGGGGAACACATCAATTTTTAGGAGCATAAAGGGGTCTTGAAACCTGGGTTTGAGAACCACTGTCCTCGACCTGTGTCCTCATGTCCCCTGGTGACTGAAGGCTTGCCCTGGTCTGTCCTGGTGTCTGATATGCATGGGGTAGCTTGTGTATACCGTTCTGCTCCCCAACTTCTCTGTGCTCTTTCAGGTGATGAGCTATTTCTTATCCTTTTCGATTTTGGTATCATTTCTTCCAAGACACTTTCTTGAAACTCGAGTTAAGGTGATAGCGTTTCCCCGTCTCCTGTATGGCTAGTGGACAAAAGCAGTTCTAACCCCTTTATCCTGCCCGGTGCCTGTGCTCTTACCCTGCATAAGCAATGGAGTTGTCGTCCCCCAAATGTTGAAAAGCAAGGTTTTTTTCTCTTTCAAGAGAGTCAGTTCTTGGGCCCCATGCACAGATATGGACAAGTTGAATGCTGCATTAAACATACCTGCATGAATGTCCGTGTTTACCATTAGAACAGTTTTATTTGCAAAGCGTTGTCAGTATCTGCTCCCAGAATGTGACTAATTTGCTGTATTGTAATGTTATAATGACTGTGTACTATTTCACATGTGTATTTTTTATTTTTTATCTGCTGTTTTAAAATTTGAAGACAGATAATGAGAGGATATTCTCTCAGCACGTTCAGAACAGACTTCTTCCCGACCACACCTACTCAGTGGTCTCTGGTGGAGATCCCCTCTGCATCCCGGAGCTCACGTGGGAGCAGCTGAAACAGTTTCATGCTACTCACTACCACCCAAGCAATGCTCGGTAATCCTTTTAAAAGTTTAAGGTGGATGGTTAGGAGTTGACTGGTTTACATTCTTAGAAAAAATGACAAGCTTCTCTCACATGTAGTAAATGATTGTTGCTTAAGAAATACGTAAGTCTAGATAAGAGTCTTTGCTGAAGTTTGCCTGTCTGACCTACTTGGACACTCATTTTAAACATCTGCAACATAACTCTCAGCACAGCGGGGTGGTTACAAACACAACCTTTGGAGTCACCTCCCCACCACCTAGGAGGATGGGCTGATGCGGGAGGTGCAAGCCTCAGGCACTGCCCTGGGCACACAGAAGAGCTCTGTAAATGGTGGATGCAGCTACTGAACCTCAGAAACTTAGTCAAGGGTTAAGATCCCCTTACCGGTCATCTTTTTAAAAAAAAAAAAAGAAATTTACCTTTTGATACACTGCTTGTTTCATGTGTCCTTAATAATAAAACACTAATAATTATATTTACAAAGAAACCAAATGCTAATGTAAAATCATATTTGCAATATTGTATAAAAAGTTAAAATTTTTAATTTTGAAAACTTTCAAATATATGGAAAAGGAGGGAGAATAGAATAACAAATACCCATACACTTACGTATTCTTTTTTTTTTTCCTGACTTTTTGAAGTAAATTACAGACATCATCTTACCCCTTAATACTTATTCTTTTGTGATCCTAAAATATAAGAATATTTTCTTACATAAGATAATGCCATTTTCATATTTAAGAAAGCAAGCATATTTTCTTTAAAAAAAAAAAAAGACCGCTAAGGGGATCTTAACCCTTGACTTGGTGTTGTCAGCACCACGCTCTCCCAAGTGAGCTAACCAGCCATCCGTATATAGGGATCTGAACCCATGGCCTTGGTGTTGTCAGCACCACACTCTCCTGAGTGAGCCACGGGCTGGCCCTAGCATATTTTCTTAAAATCTCCTGTTTCCTACTCTGTATTCACTCTCCAGTTGTCCCTAAAACGTTTGAGCAACATGAAGACCACACGTGATGTTTTCAATCGATGTGTTTCCTGGGTCCGCTCATGGAGGGTGGTGGGAGAGGCCAGGCCAAGCTTCCCCTGGGCTTTCTCACCCTCTGCACTGTCTGGCTGCTGCCTTGTGGAATTGGAACTTGAATTGGATCCAGACACTTGGTTAAAGTCAGGTTAAGCCTTTTAAACAGTCCTTCGTGGGTGGTGCTCTTACACCTGCTGCATCGCATCAGGCCTGTGTGGGGCCTGCTCGTGGATCAGGAGGGTGACAGCAACTCCTTTGTGCAGTTCTGTGTTTTCCTACAACTACAGACCCTCTGGTGGGTTGAGATTCTGGTACCCTGTGAATATTAATTGAGTTTTTCATCACCCTACTGATAGATTTCATGTTCGTTGATGATTGTTGCCTTAGTCCATTATAATAGACTTTGCAAAGTTTTCTAACACTATAATTTCTTCTACATTTGTTAGCTGGATTTCTGCAAAAAAGAGCTTCCCCTCGTCCACTGGGGGTATTGGGTTCCTCTGAAATATAGCTCTGAGAAAGGCAGGGGGCATGTGTGCCCCGCAGTGTCCAGTTTTAGGAGACAGGTGGCAGTAGCTACCTCCAGTGATGACCAGCAGGCTTTTTTCTTTTTTTTCCTAGCCTTCTTTGGTTTGTTTTGATTTTTATTGCCACTATGACCTTATAGACTATTTTTATATGTGTATATATCTGAGATTTTGTGACCAAATGGAATCTTTTTATTTATTTTTATGCTCAGATTCTTCCTGCTCCCGTATGAGTTCCTTTCTGACAGTTTTTAGTCTTCATTGATTTCTTTGGTTTCTATCTCCCATTCCCTCAATCCCAACACATGCACACCCAGGCTCTCCCTGCTCTAGGTATCCAGCTGGTCTTTTCCCATGGAGTTCTGTGCTCAGTGGAAAGAGGCACTTAGAGACCAGTACCCAGTTATTAGGGGTGCTCATTACTACTGCATTATCTAAACCCTTCCAGTATAAAATCTGCTTCTAAACCCTGAGTGTGAAAATTTAGACGGTCTTTAAGATACTGGCTCCCCAAATCTCAGTCATAGCTAGACAACAGAAGTAAAGAAAAAGACCAGTTCTATCATTGTAGCCTTTTTCCTCTGGTTGAATAAATGTGTTATCTTAAAAACTCATATAATCTGAAATTTGTAGCCTAAAATTGATTTTTGTGAAATTCTTTATTTTGTCATTCTTACATACTGTAGCTAGGGTCGTAATGTATTTTAACAAATTACTCATTTGTTTTTTATAATGCCTTTACAGCAGATTTAAAATAAAATATCAAATTTTGCTGGATTTACATTTAATTAATTCCTCCTGCATGATGTATTTTAACAAATTACTCATTTGTTTTTTATAATGCCTTTACAGCAGATTTAAAATAAAAGATCAAATTTTGCTGGATTTACATTTAATTAATTCCTCCTGCATGATTTGTGTTTTGTATGTACCTTCTATCCTATTAAAAGGGCAAAAGCTGCTGTCTCATGTTTATAGTTAAATCGAGGGAAAACAAAATGTATTCCTATATAAAATTCACTTCAGTGTGGACACTGGCTTGTTATCAGCTACCATATATTGTATATCCTCTATTTCATGCAAAAAGTCACTGCTGTTCACTTCTAATCTTTTAAACTAAAATGGACTAATATCTTTCCTCAAAATTTTAGGTTCTTCACTTATGGTAATTTTCAGTTAGAACAGCATCTGAAACAAATTCACGAAGAAGCACTGAGTAAATTTCAGAAAATTGAACCAAGTACCACAGTGCCAGCTCAGAAGCCCTGGGATGAGCCTGTAAGTGCCCTGTCCAGTTTTTGTCATACCTGTTAAGTATATCAAGATGAGGACTTCTGTTATGTATTAATAATAGGATTTTAAGATGTTGTTGTGGCTGTGCAATGTAGATAAGAGTTTGTCAAGCCTAACGAATGGTTATTTGTTTTAAAAAGGAAGTTAACTTAGTGAAAAGCATGCCCTTGACCATTGTATGCATCCAGGTATCTATCATAGTTTAACACCAGTCAGACTCGATGCCTTCTGAAAGCACTACATCATTTTACAGAGGGAATTCCAGATAACATGTGGCCCGGATTCACTGGCTGGAGATCCCTCCAAACAAACCACGGTCAGTGTTAGCTTCCTCTTGCCCGAGTAAGTATACCGTACTGAGGTTCATACTAGCTGAAAAACAGTGCTAAATACCCAGGATAGGAGGTGAATTCTACCATCGGGTATAAATTTATGTATGGTCAGGAGTCAGGAGTCAAGCAGGTTAGTTTTTAATAATATCTGAAATGGTTTTGAGGGAAAATCATTTTTGGTAGCCATCCAGAAGAAAAGTAATTTACTTTCTTATTGTATTTAAAGCTTCGTTCCTATAGAGAACAGACTGCCTGGGAAAAGCAATAGTTTAAAAATATACCACATACAAAACTTTGTAATTCTGAGATTTCGTGGAGACCAGGTTAGAACCTGTGCTGTGGAGGGTACATAGAAAAGACCGTGGCACTGTGCCCCACGTCGTAGCTACATGTCGTGAACACATCAGTCCAGCTCGTTGTTTGTGTCTTGTCTGCTTTATAATGTTGATGTTGTAACTATAACTGAAATAATATATGTGGAAATGCTTGGCAGACTATCGTGATAAGTATTTAACATGCAGTTAATTTTATGGTGTGGGGCCCCTCCTCAAAAAAATCCCAGTATAAAAAGTTCTCCTTTGCCCCTGTAATTATTAAAATAAGCATTTAAGTGCAGGAGTTTCTAGTAGAACTCAGCTTGGAGATGGAAGTGTTAATCTGGTATTGAATTAAGTGATTTGAAAAGCACTGATGAGGCCAACACTTCTCCCTTTTGTTCTCCTCCCCCTTTTTTTCAACGAAGTATCACTGACACATATGAAGCCTTCACATTAAATCTCCTGTCTTCACTCTTGATATCGGGGCCCAATTCTCCCTTTTACAAAGCCTTAATTGAATCTGGACTTGGCACAGACTTTTCTCCTGATGTTGGGTAAGTTTTATGATTGGATTAGACCATAGTTGACAGTTGGGGGCAGTTCTGCTCCCTCCCCACCCCCAGGACACTTCATGATGTCCGGACACTTTTGGTTGTTACAGCTGGAGGGAGGGGGTGCCAGGGCAGGTTGTGGCTGGAGGCCAGGACTGCTGCCCAGCGCCCAGTAAGGAGCTCTGCATGATTGTCATTCCAGTGCACACCGTGTATGTCCCCTGAATGGGGCATTAGACGAAAACAGCTTTTCCAGGGTCTCAGAGTATCACACCTTTAAAACACAAGTCATTAAGTACTCTTTGAAGTCTTAAGATTTTGTAAAACTTAGCAGTTTTCTATTTCTAAGTATATTTTGCCATAACTCAAAGGTTTAAATTGTATTGACTCTTAGAAACAGTAAAAGGGCATGAACGTACATGTGACCAGTTAATTATATCTGAGAAGTGAATGTCTGAGAACATTGCTTTAATGGGCTTTGTGTAGTGGAGGACCTGGAGGTTAAAGTTCTTAATTCTGATCTTTAAAGCATATGACAAGCGAATGATGAAGTGCGTTCTTTCTGTGGTGCATTCTAGATACAACGGCTACACAAGGGAGGCCTACTTCAGTGTGGGCCTGCAGGGGATTGCAGAGAAAGATGTTCAGACGGTCAGGGACCTCGTGGACAGCACGCTTGATGAAGTGGTCAGGTGCGTGTAGCTGTTCACGTGAAACTGCTTGCCTTTCTTGCTCACTGGTGCTTTCTGCAAAGGGTGCGGAGGTTTCTTCACTGTTTGGTCTTGTCCCTCTCTCTTTTTTTAATCTTTATTTTATTTTATTTTTTTCCTTTTTTGTCTTTTTTTGTGACCGGCAACGGATCGCAACCCTCAGTGTCGCGCCCGTACCGGCCCAGGACCGGCAACAGGATCGCAACCCTCGGTGCTGCACCCGCCCCTTGCTCAGCCAGTGAGCGGCCGGTCTGTATGTGGGATCCGAACCCTCGGTGGGAGTGCCGCTGCGCTCCCAGCGGCGCACTGTAGCAGTGCGCCACCAGGCCGGCCCTTAATCTTTATTTTTAATTGACACATAGTAGTTGTACATGGATGTGGGGTACAATGTGATATTTGGGTACATATATACAGTGTGCAGTGATCAAATCAAAGTAATTAGCATATTATAACAAACATTTGTCATTTGTGTTGGGAACATTCAGCATCCTCTCTTCTAGCTCTTTGGAACTATACCATAAATTGTCATTAACTGTAGTCATCCTACATTGCTATAGGACACTAAAACTTATTTCTCCTTTCTAGCTGTATTTTTGTATTCATTGACCAACCTCTCCCTACTTCCCCCTTTTCAGCCTCTAGTAACCACTATTCTACTCTCTACTTCTCTGAGATCAACTTTTTTTAGCTTCCGCATTTGAGTAAAAACATACGGTGTTTATCTTTTTGTGGTTGGCTTATTTTGCTTCACATAATGTCCTCCAGATGTGTGCATGTTGCTGCAAATGACAGAATTTCAGTCTTTTTATGCATGTTTAGTGGCCTTCTCTTTATGTAAAAAACATGAATTAGTTTATATTTAACTGTTTAAATATTATCTCTGCTACCTTGTGTTTCTAAAACTTTCTTTTCAACATCTCTTTTCTTAATTGTTTTCTTCAGGAAAGGATTTGAAGATGATCGAATTGAAGCTTTACTTCATAAAATCGAAATACAAATGAAACATCAGTCTACCAGCTTTGGACTTGCCCTGACATCAGTATGTGTTTTTCAGCCATCTCAGTTTTGGTTTTGTTTTTTGTTTTTTGACTTTTGTAATCAGGGGTTCCTGACAGCAGTGAAAATACAGATTGATATTGATAGCCTTATTATTTGAACCCTAAAAGTTACACTGTCCTGGAACAGATATAAATTTACTTTTAATTTAGTTTTATAATAAACATTTTGTCTTTTTAATAGCCTATTTAATTGGCTTTTTGATATCTTATGTTTTTATGTGAAATAGGTTTATGCAGAATACTTTAAATAGGTAGGGATTTATGATAACTGATAATCTGTTGGTAATTATATTTTCTAAAAATAAATTAAGCCTTTGCTTTTTATGTTATTAGTAAAAAATAGAGTTAAAATGAGTTTTCTTTTTCTCCAAAGAATGGCTTAAATTTTTGTTATAAACAGTTATCTGTGGTATTTTTAAATACAGAAACTAGGATTTCAATAACATATCATGACTTTGACGTTTACTCTGGGGTATTGTAGTGTTTGTGGTATAAAGTGCATTATAGATTTAAAACTCTCCATTCCAGTACATAGCTTCTTGTTGGAATCATGATGGGGACCCTGTGGAACTCCTGCAGTTGGGAAATCAGTTGGCTAGATTCAGGCATTGCCTTAAGGAAAATCCAAAATTTTTGCAAGAAAAAGTGAAGCAGTATTTTAAGGTAAGAAAGTTTGAAAATTTATGTCTATAATTTTGAAGTTGAATTTTATAATGAAAAGAACATTAGGAGCAAAATTTTTCTGTGTCAATAAATTTCTGTTAATGAATGGTTAAGGTAATTTTTAAATTTTTAACTAAAAATTTAAATGCTTACATTAACTTAATTAAAAAATTCTGTTTCCCAAGCTGTAATGCAAGTTGATAGAGGGTGTTTTTTAATGTGAATATACATATGTTTATGTGTATATATTAACAAACATCTATGTTTATTTTTCTATTTTGTTAGTAGAATAATAATATAAAATATGAAAATAGTCACCAAAATGTAGTGACTATTCTGGTTATTTTTATGATTGGATTCTTTCAATGCTTGTGAGTTTGTTTTTCTAGATTTCCAGACATTTGTGTGTGGTTGTATGTTCTCTGCTATGTATTTATTAATACGGTAGAACTTTTTAAAGGTATTGCCATGATGGGCAAGCCTGATGTCTGTTTGGAAGGGTAACTCTATTTGATGTGTGCCATTGTTGTGGACGTGGGACATGCTTTGATAGTGGGACCTGCAGTTTCTCTGTAGATTATTTCATATAGAGCTTTGGTTGTGCTCCCATTCTCCCACTTCTCTGTATAGTATTACAAGTGAGCATTTCGTGCACATATTTTTTTTAATTATTGAAATAAAAGAAGCACATTAAATCACCAAACATCTATTTTGTCCTCATAATTTATAAACTATCAAATGGAAAATATAGTTCCAAACTTTCAGAAGTAGTATAATGAACACTGGACAAAAATTAAGTTAGAATTTTGTGGTATCTTCGATTTAGACTAAAATCAAAGATTTATAATATTAAAAAGCACAAGTAATTTTTTTTTTGCAATAGGGTATAAAGAAAATGTTGACTATTGATAAAATTATGGCTATGACATGGTGACCATTATAATAATAATCATTTAATAGTAGTAACAACAGCATTATGAATTAATGCTTACTGCATAGCAGGTGGGGTTATGAGGATTTTTTTATGGCTTCTGTACTTTAAAACAACCTCTGAGGAGAGTTCTGTTGTCATCATTATTATAAAAGTGGGCACATGGAACTACTGGACCAAGGACAGACCCGCAGAAGCTGGCTCCAGGTGTAAGCTTTAATACAACCTTGTTTTCACTTGGCTTTTTGTCATTTGTTGCAGAATAATCAGCATAAGCTGACTTTATCAATGAAACCAGATGACAAGTACTATGAGAAACAAGCAAAAATTGAAGCAGAAAAACTGAAGCAAAAGGTCACCTCTCTCTCTCTGAAAGACAAGCAACAGATCTATGAAAAAGGTGAGCTATTAGTTTTGTGCTTATTGACTGCTGGCCTTCCCTAGACCTAGTGAACTTTTCAGAAAGTTAATAGTTGGAAGCAAGTATGAGGGTACTTCAGAAAGTTTGTGGAAAAATAGAATTGAAAGATAAGAGCAATCTTTGTGTGAACTTTCTGAAGTACCCTCCTATTATTTCAACTGACAAATATTTATTGGGCATCTACAGAATTCCCGTTTGGTATGGTGGGTTTGTCCGTGAGATTCAACCTGATGCTCAGAAGATTCATACAGCAAAGGCAGCAGTAACTGAAAAGAAGTGGCTTTAGAAAACTTATTCATTTTACGGATTTTATACATAATTTCTATTTACCAGGCGCTATATACTATGTCAATAAAATTTATGTCTCAGTGTGTAATGAATTGCCAGGTGAGCAACACAGATAGTCTAAGCCATGTGTTGAGAGGAGGCAGGTGGCGGAGAGGTGAGCTCCCCAGGGCGCATGCAGGGCAGGCGCAGGTGGAGATGCACAGTGGGGAGGAGTACCCCTGCCCGAGGGCGACGCGTAGGTGCAGATTGGGGACGAGGGCACGTGGGGGAAAGACAGAGGCAGGAGCGAGAGGCTAGGAGGCTGCATGAGGGCCTGGAGTGCACACTGTAAGCATCAGAAGTCAGTGAGCATTGCCGTGGTGGTATTTCTCTTTGACAAATTGGATAGAGAAAACTGTGGAAAGGCGATTAGAAACCTAAGCATGACAAGAAGACCTGGGATGGTTGTGGTGGATGAAGAGAAAAGTCCGACCTGGGAGACCTTGCAGAGGCTGGTGGGTATGCCTGGGAGAGGAGAGGTGTGTGGCCACAGGAGAGGGGAGGAATCGGGTCACTTCTGGATCATTATTTATTAGGAAAACGCAAATTAAAACCATAGTGATAAACCATCACACATCTGCTAGAATGGCTAAAGTTTTTTTTAAAAATACGGCCAATACCAAATGTTGTCAATCACGTGAAGCAAGTGGAACTCTCGTTTGCTGCTGATGGAAAAGCAAAATAATACAGCTTCTTAGGCAAACCATTTCGTGAGTCCTGACAGTGCTAAACTTGCTTGCCATAAAGCCCAGCTGTCTTATACCCGAGTATCTACCCAGAAATGAAAACGTGTCCATATGACCACACAAACCTTGAAACAACCCACATTGCCCTCAGCATGTGTATCCATACAGAGAAATAACTGCTTGGCTGTGAAAAGGAGCAAGCAGCAGCACACTTAAGTGCTGATGGGTTTCAGGGCACTGCACTGAGTACAGTAAGCCAGGCACAAAAAACACACACCAGATTTATATGGAACCCTGGAAACTGTATTGGGGTGTCAGATGAGCTGCAGGGTGTTTTAGGGGAGCTGGACTCTTGGACTGTTTGTGAGACTGAGTGAGTGAATCAGAGAAACAGGATTAGAAAACTTCTGAGTGGCGTGAGGTTGGGAAGCTCTGGTTGATTGGGCAGGTAACTACGAGGTAGAGGAAAGTCTGGAAAGTCTAACAAGTTTGCTGTTGGTGCCTCAGGCCTGAAGAGCTGGGTGTGGAGGGCGTGTTCAACTTTCACTTTAATCAGGCACAGTGACACCTGTGGAGAGTGCTGTACCACGTGAGATGCTTGCCATGCCCCAAATCCTGTCTCTGGGTGGCTGTGATGTGATTGTGTGTGCACATGGAACTTCAAAACAGTGGACATGGCAGATTAGGGAAGCTACTCCTCTTCCTTCTAAGATTAGCTCAACGGATGCCAGGATCTGCAAAGTGCTTTTACACATCCACCATTCAGGTGCACCCGTAAGCAGTTGCTCGGCCTTTTGGATTCTCTCTTACAGACCATGTGGTTCTGTGGGGTGATTCCCTGGAAGAGTTTCCTCCCTCTGACTAGGTGCATGGACCATCAGGCCCAGAAAATGTATTTTTAAACATTGCTATAACTTGTGAAATTTATTTGATTGCACAAGCATTTTGCTGAAATTAGTGGTAATGAAATAAGAGGAAACAAGTACAACAGTCATTAAATTTTAATCCAGCAAGAAATGGTTTGGAAACTCTAAACAGTCTAATCGATGGTATAAAGTATTGAGGGGCAGAGGGGAAGCTGCTTGAGGAACCTCTGCTCCCCAGCAGAACTGTAAATGATTGAAGACTGAGAGTTAGAAGAGGACTGCCCCTGAGTGATTGTCAGGTCTCTTCATTGGCTTTGCTTGCAGATAGCAGACAGCTTGGAAACCCGACAGCTGGCATGGCATGGCAAATTTTGAATGTCAGATGATAACAAACAGAGAGGTGATAAATTGCATAAAACATTTTCATTGTAGTCCTGAACATTCATTGTTTTTTTTATATTTTTTACTTTTTAGGTTTAGAATTACGGACTCAGCAAAGTAAACCTCAAGATGCCTCTTGCCTGCCAGCATTGTGTGTCTCGGATATCGAGCCCACCATGCCTTTCACTGAGCTGGACATGGACTTGGCAGGTCACTGTAAACACTATCTTTTTCAGGGTGCCTGGGTTCCTCCATTAAATTCAATATCGGTCTCCACAGGAGAAATAGAGTCATACTTTGGTTGTTTTCTGTAAAACATTTGAGCATCCCTATTCATTTAGAGCTTGCTTTTCAGGTATCTCATACATTGTTTTTAACATTCAGTGACGATAGACTTCCTTACTAAGCAAGAGCATGTGCTTGCTTTCCTGAGTGGGTTTGATACAGCTCTGTAATTTGCTGCGTCTAGATTCAGATGAGGATTTATTTAGGTTATACTGTGGCTGTATTAGATGCAGTTTTTAAAGCATATGGGCATCCTCTAAGTCCTTTGCCCAAGCAAACTCTTCAGTGCAGCTGTCAGTATAGGAGAGAGGATGTGGGGGAATGGGGAGGTGCTCTCAAAGTGGAGGTGTGACAAGTCACAGAGGACGGAAGGGAGCCTTAGGCTGCTGCTGTCCCATCCTAGTGTTTGTCCTGTGGCCTGTCACTGTTCCTGTGTTCTCAGAGGGGCTTAATTTCACCTTGGCTTCTGGTTGGTAGCAAGACACACGTCTGTGGAGTGCCGTTACTCTGGAAGGTGTTGACACTGAGCACACAAGTGGGCAGGATGGGATTTTACTTATCTGACCTCAGCATTGTGCTTTAACTTGCACCACTGAGGACAGGATCTCACACTGAATCTGAGAGTCACTGTCCTCCGTGGAACATCTCTAATCTGCCTTTTGATTTTTAACACTGCCTGTCATGTTTACAACATCTCATTCATTTGGTGCACGTGTGTGCATGTGTGAATGAATTTTTTTCTTCTGGACTGGGCTTCTAGAAGATGGGGTTAACATCCCACTGATCTTTTAAGCCCCCATAGTTTTTATTTATCAGTGAATCTCATTAAGTGTTCATTCAAAGAATTAGTGAAGATAAATCAGTCATCAGAAAATGCTTTAGTTCCTACTCTGATGCTAGGGAAATACAAAACACAATACACAGTCTGCGCCCTTGAGAGACTTGGAGGTACCCTTGGGGTATGTGGGTACTGAGCAATACAGGGGATCATGTGGGGGCTGTGGGGAGGACCTGTTGGGGCAGATGAGTGGCATTTAGGATGGGTGAGACAGTGGGATCGGATGTTTCAGGAATGCCCTAGTCAGAGTCCCCTCTGATTAAAGGCAGGTGAGGACAGGTACAGGTGGGGAGGGGAAAGCTGGCATAGTTATGAGACCAGAAGAATGTGACTGTTCTTCCATTCTAATTCTTAGTATTGAAGACTGTTTCAGTTTTTTGTTATAATGGAACTACAATAGGGACATTTATATAAACAATGCAAATGAATAGCATTTTTTTTTTTTGCTAATATAAGTTTTAAACCTCTATTCTTGAATAGCAATAGCATTATTTCTTAAATGTTAAAAATGATTAAAATTTTACTGGTAATAATGTGTTTTTCTAGCTGGGGACACCCCTGTTCAGTACTGTGCACAGCCCACCAATGGCATGGTGTATTTCCGAGCCTTTTCCAGCCTGAACACACTTCCTGAGGAGCTGAAGCCCTACGTGCCACTCTTCTGCAGCGTCCTTACTAAGTAAGAGCCTCATATTCAGAACAGAGACACACAAACGTGTATATAATTCAGCACAACTTTATATGTCATATTAATACATATTTTCTGTGTGTAGATCTACAGTTTTAATGTATTGATAGTAATCACCTTTCAGTGGATCATTTTATTTTTTAAAACTATTACTGTTGTACAGTGAATAAGTAAACATACAGTATATTCGTTTAGAATTTGTATTCAAATGAAAATTATGTCTTCTTACATTACATTAAATATTTATGAATCTGGACTGTAGGATAATAGTTATAGACACATCCATCTCCCCGGCGTTACTCTGTTAAGATTTTGACACAAAATGCTTGCGTTTAATCTACAGCATGAGTGATTGGAAGTGGTGGGGCCTGGGCTGGCTGTGAGGCCAGGCCGACACCCTCCCCTGTGGTTTGCTTCTCCACTGAGCTCACTCTGTTGCTGCTCCTAGTCTCCTTAGATGGGCGTCTTTGAATAGGTGTGCACACACAGCTGCGTGTCCCTTTTTCTCTGCTCTATGTCCTGGCCCAGGTGATAGGACCCGCAGTACACGAGGCTGCGGGCGTCCCTCCCTGTTCAGTAGAGCAGAGGGACACGGAACCACTGCAGCAGAGTGGTCTGTGGAGAGTGAGAAGTTTGCGTGCTTCAGAAAGCTGCATGGCTGTTGGTCAGGGCAGGGGAACACGTTTTCGAGTTTTGTTTTGTTTTTAGTACAGCTCCCACAGCTTGTCCTTTCACAGCAGTTGCAGAAGACACATCACAGTTGTCCACTGGGTTTAAATGCTCTCTTGCGTTAGGAGATTGGGGAGAATGTTACTTCCAAAACATCGTTGCTTAGAGGACTTCTGCTATTCTTAAAAACTCATGCCGGCCTATTCTTCAGGTCCCCCACAGACCACCAGATATTTGAACCAATGAGGTATGCGTCAGAATGTTTTGGAAGAAGGGAGTAAGGAACACTCAGAACATTTAAAAGCTTAGGCCGAGAAAAGCGTATTTTAGAATTTTGTTTTTAGTGCCAGGTGCTGGCTGCCTGAGTGTCCAGTGGCCTGGGTGCTGTAAGTAGATTCCCTGAATAAAAGAAGCTGGTTTCCACCCTCGGGAGAGGAGGGCACATGGACAGTGTAGAGCATTAGTATCAAATGCTTTCATTCTTCATCACCTTTGATGTGTAAAAAGAGGCCTGGCAGGCTTTGGGGTTGAATTAATTTAATCAACTTGTGAGTGAAGAGGCACGTGCCTGGGGACTCAGGAAATGCTGCTTGTCTGTGGCAGGCTGGGCTGCGGCACTCTCGACTATCGGGAACAAGCTCAGCAAATAGAGCTGAGAACGGGAGGGATGACTGTGTCTCCCCAGGTGCTCCCTGACGACGCACATCTGGACACATACGAACAGGTAGTTTTTGATTCTCTATCACAGTCACGGTTGAAAGTTTGTTTCTCCAGTGTCTTGTCTTTTATGTTAAATTAGTTAATTCCTTATTTGTTCTGCTTTCATTATTCAGGGCGTGCTTTTTTCCTCTCTCTGCCTGGATCGAAACCTACCAGATATGATGCATCTGTGGAGTGAAATATTTAACAAGTACTTTATCTGCAAAAGATGTTCATTCTCGGGATGTGCAGAGATCTGAATCTGAAGTGTTCTAAAAGTAGATTTTCCTCATTTGTGGGTGTTAATTCCAAATATTTAACAAGTACTTTATCTGCAAAAGATGTTCATTCTCGGGATGTGCAGAGATCTGAGTCTGAAGTGTTCTAAAAGTAGATTTTCCTCATTTGTGGGTGTTAATTCTGTAGCCTGATTTTACTTGTAATTCCTGTGGGCTTGTAAAATGTCTGCGGATGCTGAAATAGCCTGAAAACTTTGATATTGAAGGGGGCATGGATGGTTCTCCAGGAATTTATTACATTTTTCCTCTTACCTAGCCCATGCTTTGAAGAAGAAGAACACTTCAAAGTGTTAGTTAGGATAACTGCTCAGGAGCTCGCAAATGGAATTCCAGACTCCGGGCATCTCTACGCATCCATCCGAGCCAGCAGGACCCTCACGCCCGCAGGGGACTTGCAGGAAACCTTTGGTGGGATGGATCAGGTGGGTCATGGGGAAGGGAGCCTGCTTGTTCTGGTTTAGCCATCTTCCAGAGTTGCTAACTTTCTAATTGACCAAATTTCATGGGAAAAAACTTTCTTTTAACTCCCCTTCTTTGTATCCCTCCCACCCCCAGCCTCACCCCTCCCCAAGCAGGGCAGTTACACACATGGCCCTGCTCCAGCGGGATGCTGCTATCAGGATGTTGGTTTCAGACTGAGGAGGTCATCTTTGGTCTCTGTCTCTCTCTCTCTGTTTGATTCCTTGGCTCAGGTGAGGTTGATGAAGAGAATTGCAGAAATGGCAGACATCACTCCAGTCCTGAGAAAGCTCCCCCGCATCCAAAAACACCTACTGAACTGTGATAATATGAGGTGGGTGCGTGGTTTGCTTCTAATGAAGATCTTATGATTTATTCTATTTCAATAAGTGTAGCTTTTAGATACTTTTCACTTGAAGTCACATAAATTTAAGACAGTAAAAAATGCTTGGTATATGTATATATAGGTTATAGAATTGATCCTAGATTTCATTAGAATTCTTCATATAGAATTGATCCTATGTTCTAATAAACTGAGAAATCATTTTCTATGGAGGATAAAAAAGTAATATTTTAAGTTTAATAAAAACTGTGGGAGGTGGGAAGAAAGCCAGCTAATTTAATCGTAGTAAAAACACAAAGTAGATTTAGGGCAACTGTGTAAGGATACACTGCCTTCAGATGCAAAGTCTTCCATGAACGAGGAATCAGGGAGACCCAGGTTAGCTTCCTCAAGACCAGAGGAAAAGAGCAGCTCCTTATAAAAATAAAAAGATGTTCTGGTTTGAGAAGAACATCTAGCAGCTCAGGCATACACACACCGTCAGCCTTATGCTCTCAGGTTTGTGAACATGAATGGAATTTAAAAATTATTAAGTTTATTTTCAGCATCTTACTGTCAATGACACTGATTTAGCATTCACTGATACTGAACTAGAAAACGACTGCCTAAGTCACTTGTTGTTCCACATGCAGAGTCCTGGTGACTTTCCCCAGTCAGTTCTTGGGAATCACCAGCAGATTCTGCAGGACAGTCTGCGGTGGAAGGAGGCGGGGCCTGACAGGTAGTGCCAGGACGTTGGTGTTGGGCAAGCCTGGCTTCAGTCCTGGCCCCACACTCCCGCTCATAACCAGGCAGTCCTGGGCACCTGAACCATGTATCTTCTGCTTCCTTCTCCATAAAATCCTACTGCACTGGCTTATTGTTAGGAATTAAAAGAAATAATATATACAAAGCAGTGACTATAGTTAGTATTAATTTAATGGTACCTGCTGTTAATTTAACTAAAATAAATTTGGGATTTAGGGCCAAAAGGGGGAAAAATACAGTGTCAGTATATTGTAGAGTTCAATAAAATGTTATATGGTAGTATTATTTGTGATTCTGTAGAAATTGGAAGAATTATATAAAAATATTTTTTGAGAGAATGGTAATTTTTTTGGCACTTCATGAAATAATTTTCTATTTTATCAACAAGTTCACATTTTTAAATTGTTGATTTCTCTTCTGGGTGGTAATTTTAAAAGTTTTCAGTCTTCTAATACTGTAAGTCTGAAAGCGTTGTTGGCAGGTCTTAATATTCTCTTTTTCCTCTTTGTCCTTCATAGAAACACAGAATTTAGAGTCAGAAACACTGTCTTTGCATCTTGACAGTTAATTTATTAGCTGTAACAGTGAAATATGTGAAAGTCTTTTAATCACTTGAAAGCACTGTAGAGAAGTCAGATGGCTGTATTATTTCCACATTTGGCTACTGTTTCTTTTTAATATTTAAGTATTATTTTATACAAAAACAATGTATTATTCACTTTTTATTATATAAAATGTGACAAATTAGTAAAATGGAGTTTTACTTTTTATAATCATGGCTTTGTATGTACATAATTTTTTATACCACCATGCTGTAACCAACTGAGCAACCAGCCAGCCTCATAATTTTTTAAACAGGTGTGCAGTGAATGCTACTGTTCAGCAGATGTCTGAGGCAGAAAAAGTGGTGGAGAACTTCATTAGAAACCTTGGTCGAAGTAAGAAGGAGCGGAAACCTGTGCGCCCCCACGTGGTCGAGGTAACACACTAATCGCAGCTGGCAAGTACCAGGTGCAGTTCTTTTATACATAGATTAACTCGTTTAATTCTTGAAGCCATCCAATGTGTGGGTATTAATAACCCCCACTGTCAAGAGGAGGAAAATGAGGTATAGCAGGATTAAGTAGGTTGCCCAGCATTGACCCAGTTGAGAACTGAATTCAAACCCTGCAGTGTGGTCATAGATCCTGTGCTCACCTATTCTTGACATGCCTTGCAGTGAATAGTTGTCTAACAGGGAAAAGCAGGCTTTGGTTTGAGATGCAGTAGCATAAGAATAGCCCAAAGTAGTGATCTGGTGAAGCATATCACTGCTGTTTGTGCGGCTCTTGAAGATACAAGACGGTTGCATCCTTTTCGCTAAAACTCATTAATTCATGGATTTCCCCCAGAATATTTACATCAGTTATCAACAACCTAATCAACTTGGTTCTTTACAAGGTTGGTTTCAGTCTAATTCACAGCATCAGTGGCAAAGTCTCACTTGCCACTGGTGCAGGTTGCCAGTCTGTAGGTTTTGCAGAGGAGCGACCTCTAATGTCTGCTGTGCTGATGCTCACACTTCCTTACTCCATTTGGGGGTGATCTCCTGTTTTCCTGTTTTTAGCTTCTGCCACTGGGAGTAGGGCCATGAGATGGTGGCCCCAGCTGCTCTGGGCCCCTCTAGCTAGAGCCATCCGTTTTACACGGCCTCTCATCTGGGCGCAGTTTTATGACTAGAAAGTGCGAAAGGAGGAAAGCAAGGTCATACTGTTTTCCTTTGTGATGTCCAGCAAGGACTTCTTTTTCTCAACTACCTGAAAATCTATGAAAAATTTTCACTTCTTTAAAACAGTTAAGAAATTAAAACATTTTGTCATTTAAAGCACTGAGAGAAATCTGTCTATGCTTGTTATTAGCATTGTGAATTTTATGAAATCTGTACCTTCTTATCTGTTTCAAATGAGTTTTAGACTTTTCTCATTTTTCTTGGAAACATTTTATTTTCAGAAGCCTGCATACAATGGCTCTGGTGGAAACGCACACGTTCGTGGCCCCCAGATTATTAGCATTGTGAATTTTATGAAATCTGTACCTTCTTATCTGTTTCAAATGAGTTTTAGATTTTTCTCATTTTTCTTGGAAACATTTTATTTTCAGAAGCCTGCATACAATGGCTCTGGTGGAAACGCACACGTTCGTGGCCCCCAGGTCATAAGAAAGCTGATCACAGTAAGTTCACAAAGTCCACTGCTTTAGCAGGAACCGAGCCGGTCCCTCCCAGCTGTGGTCTGATGCTCTGGTTCTGAGAATTCCTCTGTCCTAGCCACTCCTGGGGCTGGGCCTGTCCCTAGAATTGCGATTTAGCTGTAGCTTTTTGTCACTGCCATCCTGAGCCTTTGCTCTTTGAGACGATGCTGAGTGTGTGCCCTGTTCTTGGGTCTGTTTTCCTCGTGCTGAGGATGACATGTTCTCAACACCACATGGTCACCTTTGCTTTAGTGTAGCTTGTGATGCTGGATGGGCGTCAGCTGCCTTCAGTGAAGCAGCATGATCTGCCTCTCTGCTTGCTCAGCTGTGGTAATGATGGCATTCAGTTTGGTTTATCGTAGAGTATGGCAAAGTAATGTATGCCTGGAGAATTAGCTTTGACATAAACGATGTAGTATGAACTGTTATTAATTGAGTAATAATTTTTAAGGCATTACGTCAAGATTGGAGGATCTCATGTTAAAGTGAGAAATCATATGGAATGATGTCATTGTAATGTCTTGCTCTTGAACATGAGTACCTAGCTAGTGACTTGCAAGAAAGGACACCTTCAGACGGCATCTGAGAGTCTCAGCGCCGAAGGCTGAATCGTGTTAGTGCCACCTGGTCTGACCCACGTGCCTCTGTCCCCCAGGAGCCCACTTTCAAACCCTGCCAGATGAAGACACATTTCCTGCTGCCATTCCCGGTGAATTACGTTGGAGAATGTGTTAGGACTGTGCCCTACACGGATCCAGATCATGCCAGGTAAGAGGGGGAATGGAAAATGGCCTCTGAGGTCTGCACCTTAATAAGAGGTTGCTGAGCATGTTACAAAGTAATAAGGTGTGTTTTGTGTGACAGAGAGTTTTTGTGCCAACTTTGTTGGACCCTGCCACGTGATGCCGCCCTATCATCTACAGAGTGCACCGTCAGCAAGAGCTCATGTGTAGGGCACTCAAAACAGTATATGTCCCTCAGGCAACTCTGCAAACTAACAGATGCCTATGAACCTAACACGTGCTTTCAACATGCCCAATTTACTCAACTTGTCTGTAGGTAAAAATTGGGTAAATTAAGGCTTGAGACTTTGATAAACATGGCAGATTGAACCCACGTGTGACAGTTGAGCCCCCTCCAGTAACCCCACAAAAGAGAGCAAAGGCATAAAAAGGCATGAAGCCATAGGAAGGGAGAGTGGGGAGGAGATGGCAGGAGCCCAAGGGAGTTGCAGAAAAATTCGAGAGCAGGAGAGCACATGACCTAGACAGCCGCAGGAAGGACGCCTAGTTGACCCACAGAGCCCTGGGGATTGTGTCTCTGCAAGCAAGGTGGGGATGTGGCTGGAAGAGTGAAGGCTGTTTCAGCGTTCCTCTACAGACTCATTGTACTCTGGTCTCCCCAGCCAAGTCTGAGGCTTAACGAGGCCCTGGTTGAGCGGTAGGAGCCCCAGCTGAGTGGCGGGGGGGAGGTGTGCTGCCGAGAGCTCGGGAAGTGTGCAGGCTGCATAGTAAGCCCCCCAGGCCACTGCCTCTGAGTCATGGCCAGCTCTCTCCGGGGAAGCTGGCCATGCAAGAGAAAAGGCCCAAGGTGAGACCTTTGGGGATCCCCTAATTAATGCATCCACTGGGCTGTGCATGTAGGACACAGATAGTTGCAGACATGCAGTATACTACAATTCACTCCCAAGTCCGTTGTCTAAGGCAGCTGCCTGCTGAGGGATGACCATAGAGGAGAAGGACACGGCCCCAGAGAGGTGCCCCAGCCTGTGGAGGAGAGGAAGGTGGGAGCTTGGTGCGGCCCATCCACATGGGGACACGTGTCACACGTGGCCCAACAGAGAGGAGGGCTAGAGGGAGTTGGAGAGCCGAGGCAGGGGAAGCTAGTGGGGCAGGGAGCTCAGCAGACAGGAGGAGCAGCTGCTGCCCACGATGGAGAGGTTCTCTGAGAAAAAGAGATAGTGCGCGGCTCAGCTGTTCATCAGTTTATTTCTGTGTCTGTAGAAAATAGACACTTCTGTGTGCTGTGCCATCACGAATAGTGATGCACAGTTGGCCTCCCTCTCTGTGGGCTCCACATCTGTGAATTCAACCCGCCACAGATTGAACATATTCAGGGAAAAAAATGGATGGTTACGTCTGTACGAAACGTGTACAGACTTTTTCTTTTCATTGCTTCCCAAACAATACAGTATAACAGCTGTTTACAAAGCATGTACACTGTAGTAGGTAATCTGGAGATATTTAAAGTATGGGGAAGATGAGCATAGACCATATGCAAACGCTATACCATTTTATGTCAGGGACTTGGGCATCTGTGGATTTTGGTATTGCAGGAGGCCCTGGGACCAGTCCTCTACAGATACCAAAGGATGACTGTATTTCTGCTATTAAATAGGAAAATGTAGATTTAAAACACTAGAATGTTATAAGAGGTTACCCCTGGGTAGTGGGATTATAGATCTTTTTTCTCTCTTGTTTTTTGTATTTTATAATTTTTCAACAGTGAACATGTATTTTTTATGTAATATAAAAATAATAGAAATTTCTCAAGAAACATAGTACATACGTGGATAAAAACTCCAGTCTCTGCTGGCGAGTTTGTTGGCTCTGTCCTCTGGGTCCTAGCAGTGCCTGGACCCCAGGACTTCTTCCACTGCCATGTTTATGAGTATGCTATATGCACATCTTCATGTGACGTCTCATCTGGCCTTTGTCACCCTTCACCTGCCTTATTAGAACACGAGCATTTGGCAGTGGTGGGGAACTGGGACCAAGTATCACCACAGGCTTAATCCACAAACTAGTGTCTTTGCTGCAGACCTTACGGTCCTCACATTAGGGGTGACTCTGTTCTGTCTTGTGACCATTCACAATGGAAGCAGCAGGAAAATAGGCTTCATTAATAGGAATTTGCTTTATTGGAATTTATGTTTTCTTGAGGATATCTCTAAAAACCTATCTAAGAGATTTACTTTAGTTTCCTTTTTTTCCCATATTCTCATGTGGGGCATTTAAATAAATGATAGTTTGTACATTTGCTTTCATAATAAAAATTAATAACCTCTTTTTACTTTATTAGGTTTTTTTTAAATGCCACATGCATTGTAACAAGTTAAGCAATAGAGAGAGCTGCAAGTAAAATCTGTGTTCCCTCTCCACCATCTCCCCTGTCCAACCCTGTAATCCAAGTCAGCTGTTTGAAAATTGTTCTTCCTCACATTTTTCTTAGTTTTCCTTTGTTAAAGAAGAGAAAGAAAAGCAGTGGGACATAAGCTATACAGTACTTATTACAAACTGATGTTCTGTATTTTTATTTTCACTTAATGATACTTTGACATTTCCCTGGATTACTTAATGTTATATATGATATTTTTCTATCAGCCATATTATTTTTAACCTGCATTTTTTTAATTGTTAATTTCAGTCTTAAGATCCTTGCACGTTTGATGACTGCTAAATTCTTGCATACAGAAATTCGAGAAAAAGGGGGTGCTTATGGCGGAGGTGCTAAGCTCAGCCATAACGGAATATTCACTCTTTACTCTTACAGGTGGGTTTTCCTCTTTTCTCTATTTCACATGTGTGGCTACACACTCATCATGTCACATGTAGTCACTGCCTCTGTGAATGACCCATGTTGTCATCTTATGTGCTGGAGTGAAGAGGTGGTTGCTGCTGTTGGTTTCTTCTCACTTCCTGGGCATTGGCCCGCACCCAGCACCATCCTTTCTGCCGCAAGGACTGGGGTGCATAGCAGCAAACATTCTGTGTCAGTAGACCCCAGGGTGGCAGCTAGCACAGTTAGGTAGAACACAGTCTGAGAGCTCTCTGAGCTCATCTCCACTGTAGAAGCCTAATATGGATACTGTTCTGTTAGGTTTTCATAGACAAAGACTATTCCCCTTTTGTTTAGAGGAATTGTAAATTTTCTGTGGCACTACTGCCGGAAGGCACGTCTTCTAACACCTTAAGAAAAGAGTAGATTGTCATTGCCACTTTGACGCAGTCCCCTCGCTCCCAGCTGTTGCAGATGCTGGAGCACTTGCTGGGCAAGCGGATCCTGCAGGGAGCGGGACTGCACAACAGCATGCCCCGCCCTCCCTCCATAGCTGTCCTCTTCAGCTGCGTCAGTGTGGACAGAACGCAGGGCTGGAGTGCTTTCTAGCTAGACAGAGGGAGGCATCTCAGAAACTGGCTCACCTGTGGGTAACTTCCAGACTGTTCTGGGCATGTCTTAGGGAAATGGAGATTTTCATTTAAACTTTCTTAACTTTTCCACTAGTATTCCATCATTTTATTATGATCCTGACTTGCCTCCATCCACCTGACTTCCTCCCGATGATGTCACAGAGAGGTGTAGTTAAATAACCTGGTGATGCACTTGCACAGGCAAACCCATGTCTCTCAAGGAGAGGAGAGTATGTCGAAAGTTTTTTTTTTTTTTTCTTTCCTTTTTTGTCTTTTTTACTGACCGGTAACGGGATCGCAACCCTCGGTGTTGCTCCCGCACCGGGCGCGGCCAGAGGGTGGGAGGCGGGCACGGCAGGGG